CTCCCGGAGAGGGGCCCCCCGCCGGGCGGCCCCGGTCCCCCCCTGCCGGACCCTTCTCCGCCTGCCACAGCGTCGTGTCACCTGTCCCCTTCCAAGAGTGAGTGTGCGAGGAGGGTCGCGGGGCGGGCCCAAAGGAGCCCCCGGCCGCGTCTCACCGCTTTCCCCCTCGGCCCCACAGGAGCTGCGTCTACGACCTGTGCGCGTTGTTCAACGACACGGAGCTGCTGTGCCAAGACTTCACGGCCTATGCCCAGCTGTGCCAGGAGGAGGGGGTGGACCTGGGGCTGTGGAGGCAGAAGACCGGCTGCTGTGAGTATCCCAGGCCCTGCCAGACTTTGGCATAAATGCACCGGGGTCATCCCGCATACCATCCCACGACAACCTGCCCTGGCCTCCCCAAATGAGCTAGACTACAGCACCCATGCTCCTGGATGGCTGGAGAAGGTTGTGTGTTCGGGGCCCAGAGCTCTGTTCCTGAGGAAAAAGCCTGGCTGTTTGTGCCACAAAGTCGAGGGCAGCCCGCCCTGATCCCTTCCGGAGCGGGGCACGGGAGGGTCACAGACAAGGGCACCACAATGCAGGCGGGCACAGTGCCTTAGAGCACCCCCAACTGTCTCCCTGCAGCGATGGTGTGCCCGGCCCATACCAGCTACCAGCCCTGCATGAGCGCCTGCCCTGCGAGCTGCGCCAACCTGGCTGCCTCTTCCGACTGCAATGCCCCCTGCGTTGAGGGCTGTGCCAGCGCCCCGGGCTACGTCCTCAGCGGGCTGACCAGCGTCCCCTACAATCAGTGCGGCTGCTCCAGCCACGGCCAGTACTACCAGGTAGGCGCCAGCGCCGGGGGGAGGCCCGAATGCCGATGAGAGAGACTGGCCCGTGGACTCTATGGAGGCCCCTCCGAGCCGGACCCGCCACCCACCCACCCGCCTGGCCAGCGAGAGTCGCCTCCCGAAGGCTGGGAGGGCTGGCCTGGTGACCCAGAGGAAGAGCTGGGGGAGCGCAGAGATTCTGAGGGCGGAGGGTGGCCAGAGCAGTGGGTTGGGGGGGGCCTCGAGGAGGGGGCGTCCGATGGGCAGAGCAGGGATTTTTCTGCCATGGCGCTGAGCCCTCTTCTCCCCAGATCAACGACACGTTCATGACAGAGGACTGTTCCCAGCGATGCACCTGCCAGTTCACGGGGGTCTTGGAGTGCGCGTCAGCAGGATGCGCCGAAGGGCAGATCTGCGCAGTGGACAACTACGAGCGCGGCTGCTTCACAGGTGAGCAGGGCGGAAGGGTTCCCCTCTAAACAGGCTCACATTTTCTACCCACGGTTCCCCAACTCTTGTGGACCGCCGTCGGTCAGCTGCTCGTCCCCCGTTTCGCCCGTCTCCTGGGTGGACCTTGAGCATCGGTGGCACCAAGGCCAGCCCTGTCTTTTAGGCAGACCAAAATACCTGCTGGGGTAGGACCTCCCCGCCTTTTGCCCTCCCTGCGAGGTAGGCTGGGCGACGAGAGCATGCATTGATCCAGAGGGAAGAGCCGAGACAACCCTGCCTTCGAAGGGCGATTGATTGCGGAAAATTTCGTCCTCTTTTCAGGAAGAGTCAGCCCTGCTAGGTAGACCAGGCCAGGAAATCAATTCAAACTACTTTTTTTTTTTAGATTGGCTGCAATAACAGACTCTGGCGAGTAGGAATGCGAATAAGGAACTCCTGGGAATAAGGGAGGCGTCTGAGCCATTCCCAAAAGTTATTTCTCAGGACTTAGAAAATGTTTCAGCCCCTTTTGCCTAGCCAAGGGTTCCTGCATAACTCTATCAAAGTCATTTTCCTGACTCTGCAGCAGTGCTTCTCAACCTCGGCCACTCTAAGATGTGTGGACTTCAACTCCCAGAATGCCCCAGCCAGAATGCC